CTACAGAAACTCCATTAAATGGATTCAGAAGAGTAGAGGAAACATCAGCTTGTGAAACTGTGATCTTATGACACTCCCTTAAAAATGACAAAACAGAGGTCTATACATAACACACCTGGTTAGCAGAAAAACAAAGAATAGACATTTCATTCCCAGGTCATGGCCACTTTCCAACACTTTAACTACAAAATAGATGTCCTTCAACTGCCAAACATTTAATCAACAACTTCTAATTTACACTCAACATTTGGTTTTAGTGTGTGTGTTAAGTTGGGTGTTTTTAATTCTTCTGTCACAGTGTGATCCATCGAAAGGGTAGGTTTCAGATTCTCTAACTTCCAGATTTGTGTTCCTAATAGTCACGCCTACCTGCAGATCTGTTAGATTGTGTAAGGTCAGGACAGGACACTGAGCAGGTTTTCTGATCCAGCAGACCGGGTGAAGGAGTCAGAGTCCTCAGTGGCTTTTATTGGGATTTACCAGGTACAGGGCAGGCAGGGGTGATGGGGAGGGGGGCGGGGCTAGTAGGCCTCCCAGCCCCTAGCAAGTCCTCACTCTGGGCTTTCCGGCCTTCTCTCACATTCTCTCTGCTCTTCTCATGGCTCTGCTTCTCTCTCGGCTTCTGCTGGCGTCCCCATGACGCCTGCCCTTAAAAACCCAGTCTCAGCCCAGGTGAATCCCAACTACCTACCTATGCCCACACCCTACTCCAGGTGCCCGCCATCAGGCATGCATTCGGGACCGCAGGGTTCTGTCATCCATCCTAATGGCGGGAGGGCAGAAAAGCCTGATACTTTTTACCTTACCCTGCAATTGTTTAGCAATTCTCAGTAACCACTTCGTTCAGGGTGGCAGCTGGAAGTAATCACTAAAGTAAAGCATTTGTATGACAACTGGGTTTAATTTATTCTTTTTACAACTTTTGTTAGTCCCACTAAATCACTGCTGTTTATCAGGTGGTAAGCTACTTAGCACATAATGTTGACATATGTTATCCATAATCAAATACAAGATCTTTTGTCTTCAGAGAAATAGCCCACAACATCGAAAGAGAAGTATTTTTTTTTTTTTCTCTCTATGGTTCAGGGCTTGTCAGGTAGTTTCGTATCTTTGATTGCTTTAGTCACCAAATCAATTTTCTACCTTGGATTTCCCAAACTGCACAGAACTCTACGATAATGTGTGAATAATCAAAACGCAATTACTTAGCTACAAAAGACTGGAGTTTTGTGCTGCTCCCCACCTCAAGGCAGGCGAGAAGAAAGGAGACTGAACAAGTAACTATTGTTCTGTCGCAACTTTAAAAGCCTCGGGAATCAAAGGTGATAACTGTTAACAACTTCCTGATGACTAATCCGACTTCCTTCATCAACTTAGGCACACCTTCCCCACCCCAGACTTGGAACCCTAACCTGCAATGTCGTCTCCCCAATCCTACAAGAACCCACCAGACCAAAGACACTGCACGAAGCCTCGATTCTGCCAACAAAGAGGTGACTCCGCGCGCCTTTAACGCACAGGTGCGGTCTTCACCCCAACCTTACGCTCTGCTCCACCTGGCTCAGGAGGCTCCGACAAGCCCCCGGACGCCACGGCCCCGCCTCCGGCTCCCCCAGCCCGGGCCGCCCTCGCGCCCACGTCCAGCCCCAGCAGGTTGGTCCCCGCGCAGCTCCCGCCCGCCCGCCCCGAAACCAGAGGGCAGCCCGCGGGCGTCGCGGCTCCAGGCGGGGCCAGCGAGGCAACACCCCCGACACCACCGCGGTCTGACCCGCGGGGCGACCCCGCCGCCCCAGAACGAGCAGGCCCAGGAGGCCGCGCAAAGCCGGGGGCCGGCCTCGCGACCGCGCTGGGGGCGGGGACGCTGTTACCTGCGGTGGGCTCGGCCGCTCCCCGCCGGCGCCGCTCTCCTGGCAACCACGGCAGCGACTAGGAGGCCCCGAGCCCAAGGGCCTAGTGACAGCTCCCAGCGTGCACCGCGCCCGCGCCCACGCCGGCGTCGACGTCGTCGGCCCTTGATCCCCGCCCCCGGTCCGTTCCATGCTCCCCGGCGCTGGCGGTACCCACAGCGCCCTCAAGCGGGCCGTCAGGGAAACGGCGCATGGCCACCAATTTTGGGCGTGGCCTGCAGAGGGTAGAACCAGGATTTTTAACTCAAAGTGCCAGCCATGTGGAGGGGGAGTTTGAAGGGAAGTAGAAATTGAAAACAGCTTGTAAATATTAAGTAATAATTAAAGGATTATTTAAATGAGTCTTTAAAGGAACTTGAGGCCTATCGAGGGGGGACATTTGTAGTAATGAGAGAAATTGTTGGTATCAGATTTTGGAACTATTGCTATTTTGAATCTGGAACTCTGTAAATGTAGTTACTACAAGGAATAGTGTACCGTTTTTCTAGGAGGTCGAGTCAAAAAATGATTGAAATTTTTACAAATGTAACTATATGTGAACTATAACAATCTTTGAAAATAGCACCAATTATGAAAGTGTACGGTGCTAAGAATACTAATGTTCACATTTCAATGTCATACATTTATTTAAGCACTTCATATTCTTGGGAATTAACTAAGTTGCTACCTCCATCCCAAAGTTTAAATTTCCAAACAGAAATTTGTGAAGCAACACGATAAACTTCTAAAACCCCAAATATCAATTTTAGAACAATTGTCTTAAACTAACATCTCTAGGGAAGTGGTTTTATTTACTTATTTGGAAAATATTCACATTAATTGATGTGTGGTAATTATGACTTTGTAATAATAAAGCAAACATCAATAAACAGAGGATATTCTGTACACAAGCCATCATTGTTTCTATTTTAAAAAAAAAACTAACACCTCTTTTTGAAAGAATTCTTATTAAAATCCTTATGTCTTATATTTAATATTTTCCCATTGTAAGTATTTGTATTATACTAAATTGTTTATTTTGTCCAACTTTTCTAAATTATCTTCTGGTAGTTATGAGATTACAACTTTTCTGAGTCAGTTTTTACTTCTGCAAAAGTGAATAGTGGAAGACCAATGGAATCGAATAGAAAATCCAGAAATAAACCTACAGATTTATGGTCAAATAATCTTTGACAAAGGAGCAAAGAATATGCATTGGAGCAAAGAAAGTTTGTTCAATAAATGGTGCTGGGAAAACTGGGTCGCTACATGCAAAAGAATGAAGCTTGACTACTACCTAACACCATGCACAAAAAACAACTCAAAATGGATTAAAGAACTAGACATAAGACCTGAAACCATAAAATATATAGAAGGAAATATAGGCAAAACACTACATGACATGCACCTCAAAGACATCTTTACAGACACATCACCCAAAGCAGTGATAGTGAAGGCAAAGGTAAATAGCTGGGACTACATCAAATTAAAGAGCTTCTGCACAGCAAAAGAGACAATAACAAAAACAAAGAGAAACCCCACCGACTGGGAGAACATTTTTGCACACAACACTAATGATAAAGGATTGATCACAAAAATCTACAAAGAGTTGATGAGACTCAACAACAACAAAGAAAATAATCCAGTCAAAAAATGGGCAGAAGAGCTAAAAAGAAACTTCTCTGAAGAGGAAACGCAAATGGCCACCAGGCATATGAAAAAATGTTCAACATCACTTGTAATCAGGGAAATGCAAATCAAAACTACAATGAGATACCATCTTACACCAGTGAGAATGGCACATATTAAAAAAACTAGCAACAACAAGTGTTGGCGAGGGTGTGGAGAAAAAGGAACTCTTCTGCACTCTTGGTGGGAGTGCAAACTGGTCCAACCATTATGGAGAGCTGTGTGGAGATTTCTGGATCTACTAAACATAGAGCTTCCACATGATACAGCAATTCCACTCCTAGGTATTTACCCAAAGGACACAGAAACATCAATTCCAAAGAGCACCTGCACCCCTATGTTTAAAGCAGCACTGTTTACAGTAGCTAAGCTTTGGAAACAACCCAAATGCCCCAAAATAGATGACTGGATCAAGAAGATGTGGTACATATACACCATGGAATATTACTCAGCATTCAAAAAAGATAAACACATGCAATTTGCAGCAACATGGATGGCGCTGGAAGGGATCATGCTCAGCGAAATAAGCCAGAAAGAAAAAGAAAAATACCGGATGGTCTCACTCATAGCAGGAATCTAGAAAACTTAAATAAGGGACCAGGAAAAAGAATAACTATACAAAAGCAAATATCAAAATCAACAAACAACTATGAACCAGAGACACTCTATGGGGGGTGTGGGGCGGGGAAAGAGGGCTTGGGGTCAAAATAAAGAGATTGTAATTGTATGGAGAATATAAAAAATAAAATTTAAATAAAATGCGAAGAAAAAAAAGTGAATAGTGGAAATGTGTACACGGCATCATTCTTACCTTCCTTTCCCCCAAGGCGGTAGGAACTGTTAATCCTGTGATTCATGCAACAGTATATAACCACATTTTCTTTTGCACAGGAAACAGAAAATTTATTACATTTTTGCCACTATTTCAATTTTGGAGCGACTGTGTCTACACTGAGTACTGTCAAGTCAATCCTAGATATTTTGTGACCTCAGACTTAGAGGAGAACTAACAAACCAGCCACCCTATTTCATAAAAAGGAGATCAAGATAAAGTGGGTTTGGAGAATGAAATTCCTCTCTGGTCTGCAGAGGACAGTACCCATCTATATCGTTTCCCTCCCTCATTTCTCTCTCTTCGAGTCTAGTCCTCTGCGCTAGCCCAAGGAGTGTACTCAGGATCTGATTTTTAAGGTCATTTTGGGGGAAGCCAGCGCACCGGGTCACGCCCAGAAGAAGCAGGGAGGGCCTGGCCTTTCTAACTTTTCCTCAGCGCTCAGGGGCACAGCGAGGATTGGAAAATGCTCACGTCGCTCTGGTCGGCGCGCTCTCCGGCCAGCAGGCGGCGCTGTGGACTGGCGGGCCGCGCGCGGTCGGGTCCCGGCGGCCGGCGCTCCTCCGCGGCTGCTTCTGCCCCAGCCCCACGTGCCGGCCCGGGTGGCCCAGGCCTGCCACAACCTCGCATTGGGCGCTCGCCATGGCGGCGGCTGCCGCGGAGACGCGCGTGTTCCTGGAGATGCGGAGACAGCTGCAGAGCGCGCTGCTGATCGTGGGGTAAGGCCAGGGGTGGGAGTGTGGCTCTTGGGCGCAGTGCCCAGCTCGCTTTTCTGCTGCCGGGGAGTCTCCGCCTTTCTCCGAAGCAGCTATTTTTACTTTCTTCTCTCCTGTTGCTTAGAGCGTCTCAGTCAAAGCTGAAACCCTCCTCCTAACCTCTACCCGCCTCATATTCCCCCCCTGAGCTGGCAGTCTGCATTTTCAGAAATGCAGCTTCAGCCCCAAGACATGCCTGCTGAAGCAGAACTTACATTTTAGCACGCTTCCCAGGATGCAGATGCACTAAATTAAAGTTTGAGAAGCAATGATGGGAAAACACCGTTGATGGCACTGGGCGTTTCCAGCAAAACAGTGCAAAAAACGTCTTGTCTGCTTTTCAGGATCTACGTTATAAGATCAGTTTTAATGTGTGAGTTTCTTGCTTTGTAAATAACCTCTGTTGTCTGCTTTCCTGCAAACTGCTTAATGTGAAGAAACTGACACAGTTGTTCAATAAACTTGTGCTCAGCGAACAACGAACGGAGGTTGCAGACTTCTCATTGGAGCGCATTCTTTTATTCACATTCCGAGTTCCAAAGACAAGTCTGCAAGCATTTAACTTGTCATTCACTGTACATACTTGGGAAAATTGTTCTCAATTGTTTTGTTTTGCAGTAGTAATGATATGCTGCAACAGTCACCTATTCCCTTATGACTGTTTCAAATAGAGTTTAAAAATCCTTAAATTCTATGGCGCAGTGCCACTCTGAGCTGAATGGATGCTTAGCTTTCCCTTCTTTTCCAATACATCAGCCAGGTACTGGAGTGTGGCAGTTTTGAATTTGTCATGGGCACTGAATTCAAATCCTACCTTCTTCTCAAGGATGGAATCTTTAAATCTGGACTTTTTTTCAATTGTGAAATGGGATATTTATTGTTCCCTCCTTTCTCGGAGTTCAAATAGCTATCTTTATCTCTAGTCTCCTTGCAGAGTTTTTAGGATCCCAAGCCTCACAAAAGACAAAACAACCTCCCTACATCCTCTCATAAGGAGCTTCACCTGGAGTTTTTGCTGTTTTATGCAAGTTAAGAAATTTAACTTTCCTAGGTTTATCCCTGATATTCTCTGGTTGTTGAGTTTTATCACCAATTTCCCCCACACTGTAAAAGCAATGACTTTTCTGATTTCATTCAAAAAAGATAAGCTTTTGCCATTTCTTGACGTATGTATACATGGATTCACACATTATGCATTTTTTTCCTTCAGGCCCTATCATGTCTTTATTCTTTAACTCTCAGCTATGTGTAAGGTCAGAAATGGACACAGTGCAGGTTTTCTATGATCCAGCAGACCGGGTAAAGGAGGAGTCAGAGTAATGGAGCCCTCAGTGGTTTTTTTGTAGGTCTTTTATTTAGATTTACCAGGCATATGGCAGGCAGGGGTGCTGGGGGGGCCGGGAGGCTGGCAGTCCTCCCAGCCCCCAGCAAATCCTCACTTTATCTGGGTTCTCTGATGTTCTCTGCTTCTCTCTTGGCTTCTGCTGCCGTCCCCATGACGCCGCCCTTAAAAAAGCACAGTCTTAGTCCAGGTGAATCCCATCGACCTAGGCCCACACCCTACTCCAGGTGCCCACCATCAGGCATGCATTCAGGACCGCAGATCGCAGATCCTACATCTATACTAATGGCGGGAGGGCAGAAAAGCCTGATACTTTTTTTTTTTTTTTTAGAGGCATGTTTTTCATTTATTTATTTATTTATTTTGTTTGTTTGTTTTGTTTATACATGCACTGGGTACAGTCAGAAGCGCGGGAGGGTGAGAGAATTCACCAGAGCCAGAGCAGGGAGCAGAGCAGGCAGAAGGACCGAAGTACACTGCTGAGGGGAGCAGTGGGCGGCAGGAGAGGTCTGCGCGCCATGTGGGACCCTCCTCTGGTGGCCGGGGAGCAGCCGGGGATCGAACCGGCACTGCAGCCGGGCAGCTTTGCAACCCAGTGCTCAACCGCTGCGCCACCTGGGAGGCCCAAGCCTGATACTTTTATCTTACCCTACACTATGTTTATATATATATATACCTTTTAAAGCATATATTGAGTGGTATCTAATTCATTCTGACAATTTGCTAAGGTTTAAATCATGAATATACTGTCTTTAATGATTTCTACATGCATTGAGAGGGTCATTTTTTTCCCTTTTACCTTTATATTTCTGAATTGCATTAGATAAATTTATATTAAACCATCTTAGCAATCCATGGGATAAGTTTGCCGTTTGTTTATTCAATCCACAGATATTTATTGAATTTCTGTTCTAGTGCCAAAACTCAGATTCTAAATGCTGGGAATACAACTGTGAACAATAAAAACATCAAGGACAAAAATACTTGCCTTTATTGAACTTAATGGTAACAGTGGGCACATGACAGAAAATGCACAAAATAAATGAACAATTTGTTCTAGTGAACAGAAATATGTACCTTGAGTGGGGTGGGTGGGCGGGCGGGGGGAGGGGGAGAGAAAGGCATAGGAAGAAAAAAAATCATAATGTCTTTTTTCCAAGTAAGAAGCTAACATTTGAATAATAAACTGAAGGGGATGAGGTATGGACTATGTAGTACCTGGGGGAAAACTTTCCCTCTGAAAGAACTGTAAGTGCTAAAGTGTACCTAGTTCAGAGAGATGTGGGTAGACTGGGGATCACCTGGTGGAGGGTCTCACAGTGGCGTGCAAGTAAATGTTTAACATCCTACTCCCCAGGAAAACCGAACAAACAAGAGAATCTCCCTGATGTGCAGCTACCACCCTGAGGTCAACTGTTTGCAAGATACCTGAAATTTTAATTACTCATCCTTGTGTGTCACTGAGTCATAATTGACCACTGCAGTGGATATAACTGGTAGTCTTTGGGCAAAGTGGGGTATAAAGTCATTGAATAATTTTGAGGAGGGTGTCACAACTAAACCAATACAAGTGAATTGTAAAAAACAACAACACAAAACCCTACTATAAAATATGTTGACAATGAGGGCCTCAATCAAACTTGAGAGTGAGTTGCTGTTACTCCCCAATACTTTACCTTGGCTTCCGTATGTGTAAGGATATTCGTCTAAATCATCATAATACAATTCCCCAAACTGAGAAATATGTTACCACTATCCTCATTCAGGTTTTGCCAGTTGTCCACATAACATCTGTCAGAGCAAAAGAATTCAGCTCAGAATCATGCATTGCATTTCATTATTTTATTACCTTAGTCTCTCAATCTGCAAGAGTTCCTCATTTTCTTTGACTTTAATAATATTGGTAGCTTTGAAGATGATAGCCTAATTATTTTCTAGATATTCGCCCCATTTGTGTTTTTCTCATGTTTCCTTAAAATTATAGTCAGGCAGGAATATCACAATGTAATGTTTAGTTCTCATTGCATCCTGTCAGGAGGCATGTGATTTTGATTTGTTCCATTTGAGCACTTGAATCGGGTGGTATCTGCCACACTATTCCCCCAGAAAGTTACTTCCCCCCCATAATTATTGAGTATTAAAGTTCCTTTAGACTACGTAAATATTCTGTACTTCAATAGCCCTTCATCATGTTCATTTATTTATTTACAACAGTATGGACCATGTTCTTATGTTTACCGGTGGGTATTTTTTTTTTTGCTAAAATTATACCAGATGTGGCCAGGGGAAGTCCTTTCATGATACTTTCTTTTTTTTTTTTTTTAAAGATTTATTTATTTGTTTATACAAGCACTGGGTACAGTCAGAAGCGCAGGAGGGTGAGAGAATTCACCAGAGCCAGAGCGGGGAGCAGAGCTGGCAGAAGGACCGAAGTACACTGCTGAGGGGAGCAGCGGGCGGCAGGAGAGGTCTGCGCGCCATGTGGGACCCTCCTCCAGTGGCCGGGGAGCAGCTGGGGATCGAACTGGCGCTGCAGAGGCTGTGGGCAGCTTTGCAATCCAGCGTTCAACCGCTGCGCCACCGGGGAGGCCCCTCATGATACTTTCTTTATCTTTATTGACAGGTCCCCAGCCATTCTTTGATTTCTTCCTCTCTTTGTTGCATAGCCAGATGGTCCTGGCTCATCTCATTCTTTTCCTGTTTCAGCCCTGGGTGTAACTATTTTTCTCAAGGAACCCTGATATTTTTTTCTTTATTAAATTATGTTTAAGTGGAAAACATTATCCTCATTATTGGCCAATTCCCATCTATGTAATTAATCTGCTGCTGCATCCTTTGCCACTTCCTTCCCCCCTGCTCACTGTGACACTCTCCTTTCCTGCTTGGTATCTGTTATGTGCTGAATGTTTGTGTCCCCTTTTGACATGGAGCCCTAACCCCTAATGTGGTGGTATAAAGAGATGGGCCTTTGGGAAATAACAAGTTTATATGAGGTCATGAGGGAATCCCTATCATGGGGTGAGTGTGGCCTCATAAGGAGAGGCACCACAGCATCCTTGCTCTGCCACCTGAGAACACTGTGGAAGGTGGCCATCTGCAAGCCAGGAAGAGGGCTCTCAACACCAAATCTGCTAGCACCTGGGTTTTGAAGTTCCCAGTCTCCACAACTAGACAAAATTGATGTTTTATAAGTCTATGATATTTTGTTAAAGTAGCCTACTAAAGCAGACTCGAAACCCCACTGGACTGCCCCTGGTGCTCCTCTTAATTTCTTCCTGACGCCTCTTGTGATCTGACACCCCTTCCGGGTCCTCCTGGTAGAGCCTTCCTCATGCTGCTGCTGTTCTCACATCCATCCCATGCCATTGTGGCTGTCCCTGGCTTGCATAGATACTCCCTTGCTCAGCCTGTATAATTTGCTGAACTTTTCAGGATGGGAAAGGGAAGGAAAGTGGCAAGCCAGAGTTGGGCATGAGTGGGACTTGAGAGCCCAGTGGTATCCCTCAGGTACTTCCAGATACCAGCTGCACAGTTCAGTTTGAAAATCACTGACATAGCAAAATGGACAAATTGTGTATCTTTAAAGCAGGGGTTAGCAAACCCATGACTAAGAATTAATTTTACATTTTTTTAAAGGGTTGTTTTAAAAAGATGCAAGTAGAATATACAATAGATACCAACCATATAGATCTGTAAAACTTGAAATATTTATCATTTCACCTTTGGAAAGTTTGCTGACTCTTGATTTAGAGGATCATTGTTTCTAAAAACTTGACTTTTGACTCAAAAGTTTGAGACTGTTCCCTGGGAAAAAAACTCAGGTTCTTGATTTTCTCTTTTACCAATTAAGTGCAGTTCTATGGGCTTTGAAAGGCAACAAGCAGGCAAGTGTCTTAAGATTTTTTAATGCAAAGTATGAACACCTGATATGAAGTCTGCACTTACAAGCCTGTATTTATCACCCCTACTGCAGGGCTGCCCCTATTTCCACACCTAATAGAACCGGCTGCTTTATGCCCTGTTATAATGCTAAGCACATTTTGGCTTTGTATGAGGCACATTTTTATATGCTACCATCCCTTTCTGTGATGTTGGTGCTTGGTGGACAGGGACTGTGTTTTACTCTTCATGGTCTATACTGAGTGATTTGTGTTTACGTGAATTAGATTAGTACGTCCTTTCATGCCCCATATTCATACATCACTAAATTGTTTTCTTCATTAATTTTTTAATTCTTAAAATTGGTAGTTGGTTTTTATTTAATAAAATTTTATTGATTTACAATAGTCTGTAAATTTAGGGGGTACTTCTACACCCCCATGTGTGTATATACTTCACCTCACCTACCACCAAAGTTCTAGGGCCATTTCCACCATGAAGCTAGTCCTTACCCTTCCTCTGCCCACTTTCTCCTCCTCTCCTTTCCCTCTGGTAACCACTATATTTTTCACTCAATAATATTTTATTCTACATACAGTAAATCAAAGAGCTGTTTTTGTTGTGTTTTGCCAGTTTATTTGCTTTTATTGTATTTTACATATGAAAGAAAGCATTTGATATTTGTCTTTTACTTTCTGACTTCACTTAGCATAATCAGTTCAAATTTCATCCATTGTGACAAAAAGCAAGATTTCATCTTTTTGATAGCTGAGTAATATTCCATTGAGTATATCATAACTTTGTTTTCTAGTCACCTGTAAATGGGCATTTAAGTTGTTTTCATGTCTTAGGCTATTGTGAATGGTCCTGCTTTGAATGCAGGTGTGTATGTATAACAAGGAAGTTTTTCCTCCTATAAAATTGTTTCACATAATCCTGGCATCCTTATCAAAATCCACTATACCAAGTAATACTTTACTTTGGTTTACTATATGTAAAATAAAACATTATTGAGTGCTGATCTCAGAAGAATATTTCACTCATGCACCTGTTCATTATTCAAATAACATTTACTTAATGCTTTGCCTATGGTAGCCACTGCTCCCCTCCTGTGTGCTTTCATAGAACCCTGTATTTATCACGAGAAAATTCAGTATTGTTCTCATGCTCCCTTAATCATTCCTTTTTACTTGGGTGTCCCCTACCTTGGTAGGGGTGGTGGCAAAGAAAATGCCCTAATGGTATTTCTGGTTCTTGGCACACTATAGAACTCAAAAAATGTGTTGAATGATTGAGTGAATGAATGTCAAACCATGCTAGGGACAAGGGACGCAAAGATAAAGAAGCCACTGTCTTATGATACTTTCTCCTTCTAAAAAAATATTTTGAAGATCAAATGTGAGTTGTTCTACAGACCCAAATCAAATTGTGCTGGTGGATCCAAGAAGCTGAAGTTGGGGAGACAGGTGGGAAGAAATAGGGAGCATAGCAAGTAGAATATAGAATTGCAGTCTTTGCAAGTAGAATGGCTCTAGGAGCGACCCCAGGAAGGTCCAGGGTGGAGGAGATGGAGGAAACATTAGGATAGAAGAGACAGTCGGTTGCTAGGTGCTCAGTATCATAAGTGTTGGGTAAAAGTGCGTATTTTAAAATCCATTGTTACCAAAAAAAAAAAAAAAAAAAAAGAAGAAGAAAAGGAGGAGAAGCAGCAAGAATAAAAATAAATCTTAGAACTTTCATCTTGCAACGACAATGAAAAGTGCTCTCTAATTCGATCTAAGGTTAGTGTAAGTATAGGTTGGTTTCTCTTACAATGAGTTTGCTGCTATTTTTCTGGGGTGGTAACTGAGGGAACCCTATTGAAGAAGAGCAGAGAGATTCTTGGTCATTCTTTTCTTCATCACATGGTTTTCATCAATAAGAAATATTTTGTGTGTGTTTTACTTGATTATCAGAGAACAGAAAGAAGAATGTAAATCGATGGATATTTTTATAACGCCATCCGCGCTCCAGATGAAAACCCCTGAAAGCTGCACAGACATCTGTCTTCCAGCAGAGGTCAGGCTTGTACCTTCTTCCTGCCGGGGCCTGCAGTTCGTGGCTGGAGACGGACTGCACCTGCGGCTGCAGGCACAGGCGGAATTCAGCACGAGTAAGATCATCGCTCTGTTTTTGCAGTTACTTTTTTATTATAAATCAAAAGTGATTTTGCACTTGAAAAGCTGAACTTTTCCTAGATGAAAATAACTGCTCATCAGTGGCATGGAGAGATCTGGGAATTAAGAAGATCCAGGTCCTGTGTCAACTCTGCCTGTTATTATTACCTGTGTGAAGTTGAACATGTCACTTGATCCTTTCTGAGCTGTTGTTTCCTGTTTTGGTTTTTAGTGCTCTTTTCCTGATTATTTTTAGAACAGTTTTAGGTTCCTGGCAAAATTGAGCAGAAAGTATAGAGACTTTCAATGTACTCCCTGCTTTGATTCTTAAATTATAAAAACTTACAGAGTTGATGTTAAGTTTAAGTCAGACGGTGTTGTGCAAGAACAGTTTGATTTTGAAATATTATATAGTAAGATATTTCTTTTACAAATACTTGCTCATACTTTGTCTGGAGGCATTGATATTAGGTGCTGGGAATGCAGAAGTGAACAAGTGAGGAAAAGTCTTTTCTTATGGAACTTAGGGACAAACATTGAACAAGTAAGTTGTTTTGTGTGTGTGTGTGTGTAGAAGAACTGGGGTGTAGGTCAAAGGTTCAGGGGTTGAGAGGATTCACCATAGACAGAGTGGGGAGCAGAACAGGCAGATCTACTGAAATACACTGCTGAGGGGAGCAGGGCGCAAGACAGGAGAGGTCTCCTGTGCCATGTGGGTAGCTCCCTAACCAGGGTTGGAGCTCAGGTTGCAGTGGCTGCCAATAGCTTGATTGTGCTGTGTCTTTAAATCCTGTGCCACCAGGCAGGCCCTACATTGTTTCTTTTTAACTGAAGGACAAGATAAATTAACTGCTATATGTTGGTACACACATTATTTGCATTCATTGGTCTCCTGTTTCTTTCCATTTTTAAAATATTTTATTCAAATCTGAAAAAGAAAATGTTCAAAGACCTGAGCTATAGTGTATGAAAGGGTATGCAAAATAGATTCCTCAGTAGCTAATTGCTTTAGTGCTTTCCACATAATAGATGGTAAATAAATGTTTGCTGAATGAATAACTATCAGATGTGTACTGATGTAAATGAATGTACTGTAGGAAGTGACTTGTTAAATTTTTTGCATTCAGTGGTTATTTCTGGATTTTTTAAAAGCTGGCTTCTCAACTCTAAGGATATTCTTTTAAGGACTATAATAAACATAATCTTGCACTAAGTCATGATCCTTGGCATGAACTGGCTATAGTAAAATCTGATAGAGCACAAGAATTAGACTCATCCCCATGTTACTGTTTAAAAAGTTCTGAACCTGAGCCAGTGAATCACTGGCTGGCCAGCAGAGGGGAGTGTTTGACTGAAAATTTGTTTATTGATACTGAAAAGAATATTTGACTTGTTTTATCCAGGTCTTCTTATATATTCACAGTTAATGAATATTGTTTTTTCACCTTAGTCCTATAGGGATTGGCAGGTATTCCTAGAAATTAGATGGAAGAATTTTTAATTGTCAAGGATTAACATTTCTAGCATTAGTGTCTTTAATCTTAAAATACATACAAAGTAACAGGATCCAAATTTGAAATACTGGATTCTAATGGATACAGCATCATGTCTTTAGTTAGATTTTATAGATGAATATTTTAGTGGGGTTTTTTTGAAATGAAAATTTCTTCAGTAATGAAATAATGGAATGTGCTCTGTCTCGAATGTGCAAAATAAATGTTTCCCCACAGTTTTCATCAGAAACTGAGGTCACTCTTGAAAGATGGAATTCGGATTCTTTTTAGGAACAATTCCATCCTCAGGGACCTGCCCCATAAAGACCAGTTTCAAGATTCATTTTGTTTTTATGTACTGGTAATTTGCAGGGTGGACATAAATCTTATTAAATCAAATTAAACTTAAATATCAGAGCTGTATTTACTAGTAGTCACACTGATGAAAAACTATACCTAAGACATAGCAGAGGAAAGCTGACAATAGTGAAGCTCCATGTAGTTAGCTGGATGTGAAGGAAATACCTCCTTTTCTCCTATCTTTAATGTGTTCTTAGAATGAAAGAAGTTACCCTCCAGTGTTTTGCATGGATAATCTAGGGCAACACCCAGCTCTGAGACACTCAACAAAATCTGTTGTTTTTGAAATGTGTTCACAGAATTTGCTGCTGCTTGAGTCATCAAAAAATACTAATTAAATGTTTACATTTAAATAGATCATAAACAACATTTATTAATAGTAATTTGTTTTGGCTATTAAGCTCTTTCAGTATGTTACTATATTTACTCCAAACCTCTATGATTTACTATTTCATTGGTTTTCTTTAGAGCTGACTTCAATGTTTAATCAGAGCTCACGAGCACAAGAATGTTGGACATTTTATTGCCAGTCCTGTGGGGAAGTCATAATAAGGGACAGGTAAGTAAGCAATATATTTAACTCTGATTCATTCTATGTCTGGCAGTTGTTGTCTTTTTTTCGATCAAAATTTGTGAATTTCCAAGGGAGCAATATATGACCTTAAAATGAGAGCCAGCTTAATGTCTGAACAAAATCAACCTCAGAACTCTCAGAGAGAAATCACAGAGCAATTAGATCTTCTGAAGGTGGCAAAGGGGAACAATGGGATTATGGCTTTAAGGGAAGAGGATTATCTTGGAGAAGAGCCTCTCTCGATCACTTGAAGCACCTTTCTTCTGAAAGGAGACATGACTTCCATCACCAGTTTTAGCCATCATTTTAGTGCATGATATTTTCCACAGTAAGTGAATTTTCTAAATCGCAGAAGCTTTTGCAGTCCAACTTTCTATTTGAATCATTCCTATTAATACCTTTCTAAAATCATTTTTTATTTCCCTGCTTATTAAAACAGTGTATACAGCACACATATTAACCTCTTCTCAGTGATTAGGTTAATCTTGTAACCTGTTCTTGTGATGTGCTATTGAGATGGGAAGTTCCCTTTGTATTCCCGAATTGACTCTTTTAATTATTTTCCTCATCTTTTCTCTTCCTTCTCTGTCTCCTTGTTTCCTGAGTATAAACCCTTTCCCTGAAATTTTCAGATACTAATCATTCATGGGTTGGAAATAGATCACAATCGCACAATCATATTATTGTTAACGAGATTTAAGGAAAGAATTTTGAGTTCTCTGTTTTATGTGTTTCCTCTGAGAAAAGTGCTGAGACTTGGATGTGAATGGATTCTTTACCATATCAGAAACCTGGTCCTCCTCCAGGCCTCCTCTCAACGAACTCTATACCTCCACCTCGTAGTCAATCATCGTATACTTTTCCTTCTCAGCATTTCTTACCTAAGTCCACTTTCCTTCATCTCCAGTCCCACTACCTCAGTCCAGGCTACTGTCTTCTTACCTGTTAGCCACTGTTGACAGAACCTTGTCCACTCAGCCTTATTCTAGTTTTACCTTCTTTAATCAGTTCTATACTACTGTAGCTGACTCCCCTGTTCAGACTCCTCCGAGACTCCCCATTTCTTTTAGGATATATTCCATGAGACCTTAGCATGCCACATCGAGTCCTGGCTGAGCTTGCCTGATTACCTTTCCACCCTCATGATTTAGACCTCTTCTCCCAGAAAACAATTATTGACACACAGTCAGTTCACAGCTCTAGTGACCAGCCTACAGGCTCATAGTCTCTTCATGGTTTTTTTCACCCTAGGACTTAATGAAAACTACTCTGTTCCCTGGAATGCATTCCATACCCCAACTCCCTCCAGTTAGCCTCCTCCTAAATTCAGCTGACAGGCATCGCCTGCTGGGAGCATTGCCTGTATCTGCTGTTGGTTATATATGACTCTTAGGTTTATTTGCCTGTCTTTCAATAAATCTGTAGACTCTGGGGAAGGGGATAGTCTTACTCCTGCAGCCCTTATCCCCACTTTAGAGTGCAGTATACTGCAGTGATTAGAAGTGCAGGCTCAGAAGCCAGATGGTTTAGATTAACAGCCATCCTTCACTAGCTGTGACCATAGACAAGTTACCTAGCCACTCTGTGTCTCAATTTTCATATTACAGAAATAAGGATAACAGTAGGAGCTACCTCATAGGATTGCTGGGGCAATCAAATGAGTTTCAGTATTTATAACAATGCCTGGCACAAAGTAAGCATTCTGTCTGTAATAGTTACTGCTATTATCATCATCTTCACAATCCCCTGTGTCAGGCACAATGCTTAGTGTGGTAAATTCTTGCTGGGTTGAATTAAATAAATGTTGGGGTGCTTATTTTGGCTTCCTACTAGTGTTTCTTCCTTGCTTCCTTATTTCTGACAGTGTCCCAGGTAGATGAAATTGTGTAAATTTGCTCTGGAATAAGTAGAGTTTTGTAAGTGAAGCATCCTCCTGAGGATTATCTTAAGTTAGAAAGGAGGTGACTCTAAGTGTGCAGACAAGAGAATGTCCTTGCTCAGATTATCTAAAGGGCCACAGTTGCTGCTGGACACACACACTGTGTCAGGCCCACTTAAGCCTGAAAGATGCAAGGGATCCTGGTTTACATTTTAGTTCAACTAAGAAACTTTTCCTTGTCTTAGCCCTTTTCATTTTGTTTGATTCTAACAAAGTTTCTGAAACGTGCATACCTGTACAATAACTAGGTGACCTAGAAGTTACAGTAGGAACAAGTTAAATTCAGTACAACAGCATTTCCTGGTTCTGCTTGCAGAAAGATATGCTCACTCCTTACTGGCTGGTATTTTTGTTTCATTGGAGAAGGATAATGCATATGAAAAATCATTACCTATAGTCCTCATTTGTCCTATTTGGGAACTGCATCTTCTGTTTTGTGTCAATCCTTTTATGATCAGAGTTGGCAGCCAAAAGAGTTTATATAGAGTCTAACTATGGAGGACGGCTGCACTGCTCCTACCCTGACCGTTGGGAGATCATGTAGCATAGAGGCAAGAGCCGAAGAATGGAAACTGCGCTTAAACTTCCAGTTTCACCACGAGTGAACCTTGTCCATCTCACCTCAGCTTCTTCTTAATCATATATATTAAGGCCCATTTTCCAAACTTGTCAGTTGAGTTAGAGGATGTAATATAATTGTGAATGCTCAATAAGCTCTTTTTTTTTTATAGAAACCTTCCACTCCCTTTTCCAAATTGATTTTATTTACAAATTACAAGATTCTTTAGTGTTTCACACCTTTTTGATTCAGGACTCAATAGTTTTTGGTGTGCCAAAGAACTGTCCAACGTTTTCTCTTTTTCTTTCTGAGGAAATAAACAGTGGACTTCACTTAGCCCTTGCCTTACATAAGCAGGGCTTACCTGAAAGCCTTTCATATCTCACCCGTGTGTCTTGGTGTTTGTATACCTTTGAACAATATGGAGGAATCCTGAGTAGGTGATTCAGGGCTTTGCTTTCATTTCACTCTTAGCAGACCCCATGGTTTTTTCTTTTATGGAAAACGTGCTTCCTTTAGTCTCTGCACATGAACATCATGTTCAACTGTTTATATTAAGCACATGGTCTTCTCATTTATTTCCGCTATCTATTTTATATTGGTGACAAGGACATCTTCAGTGCTTGTTAAATTGTAAGCAAAACCAAAAAAGGCATGTATGTGCTACAATCAAAATTAACTAACTATAAACATTTTTTCCAACATAGCAAACTGGAATATGTTGACTTAATTGGTTTTGGAAGCTTCTCTTGATAGGAGTTTAGCAGGTAGCCTTATTATCTGGGAACAAGTCACTTTATTGTTCTGGACCTCAGTTTCCTCATTTATAAAATAAGGAGATTGGTTTAGATAAACCTGTAAGGCCTGCTAGCATGAAAATGTTGTGATTAGTGAACCTCATGAAGTTGTACCTTTGGCTCTGTGATTCATGATTATTTGTCTAGTGTAAGATACACACGTGTTCCTTTTTTAAATGAAAAAAGATTCTTGTCAAGTAAATTATAGGAATAAGGTGCACAGGACTGTTTAACCTGTTTAGACTCATTAGTGGATTTTAGCACTTAATAATTCTGGGGCACACAAAATCTGCTAATTATAGCAGTCTTTTGTCTTAATTTATGATCACATATTCCTAGGCATTTGTTTCATTTATTTGAAAATAAATAATGCTTCATTTCTTTTTTTTTTGCTTCATTTCTTTATAATAAAATCCTCCAACTTATATTTTTGACAGTTCAGCAGAATTTTTTTTTATAAAAACAATCTGAACATAGAATTTTTGATTATGAACTTTTTGAGACTAGCAGGCCCTAATATCAAGTAACAGTAATAAAATATATGTCTTTGTGAATAGTCTCAGAAACAGTAAAATGATCATTGTGTTTGGAATTTGTGATGTCTTCTCAAAATATATTCACGGCAGGATTGAATTACATCAGTTGGCCAAACTGACTTTTCAAACATAAGTCTTTTGATTTCCAGTCAATTTGAGAAGTGTCCTGAGGACTCTGAGCCAGCAGAGTTAGTAGTCAGCCCAGCAGCTCATGAGAGCATTGAAACTCTAGAAGCAAACAAGCATATGGACTTTGTGGAAACAAGAAATATAAGAATATCCAACCAGTTGATTGACCCATAGGATAGACCAGCAATAATTGTAGTCTAAAAGTAGCTACCTCTGTGAATATGGTCACTTTTCTATAAAAGAGAACAAAGAATCAATAAAAAGAGTAAGGCACAATTTGGAATGTTAGTACTATTGTACAACTTTGGAATAAAATAATTATACTCTTATGAGGCTAATCATACTCTGTACCTAATGGTAATAAAATACAAAGCTAGTTTCATAGCCTATCTGTTGGATAATGTCAGCTGAATTTATCTCAGTTCCAGAAGCCATATGTTAAGCTTTAGATATTTGATGTAATATTTAATGTCTACTTAGTTATCACCCAATATGTAAAAACTCCATGTTATTAATTTTGTTATTGTTAGTGATTAATGGTTGATTTTACACAGTAAGGGTCATTTCATTTTCTTGTCTATATCTTTAAAATTTAAATAAACATCATCAATCAGTAGCATTTAATTTTTAAGTTACTTTCCCCAAAATTGTGTGCTCTATGATACATTAAAAGTAAATAGCAAATTTTAATTTATTACAAATAAGCGTTTGATGTTCATCATAGAATAATAAGCTGAGAGAAAATTTAAGGAATCATTTCCCTCTTATTCTCAGCTTCAGCAGGTTTTTTACTTACAAACTACCTTAAAAAAAAAGGTATCTATTTTATTTCAAAGTTCTCTTGGGAAGCAGAACATATCAGTTTCAGGTTTTTTGCTAGATATACTTTCAGTAGGTCTGTGATTAAAATACATCTTTTGTTCTTAAAGGTTTTATGTTTTTTTAAGACATCAGAATAATTTCTTTCTGCTGTAAAAACACTTTTATCTTTGCAGTGACTTGTGAATTAGGTACTTTCTTGCTTCTGATGTCTTTTGTAGGTAGTTATGGGATATATTGTAGCTTTTACTCACATGATATGGAGTCAAGTTTGAAATACCATATTTTGAGCTACTGTGCATCAAATCTCCCAAGCTCTTTATTTTATTTATTTATTTTTTTAATTTTCTAGAGGCATGTCTTATTTATTTATTTATTATTTGTTTGTTTGTTTGGTTTATACATGCACTGGGTACAGTCAGAAGCGCTGGAGGGTGAGAGAATTCACCAGAGCCAGAGCGGGGAGCAGAGCAGGCAGAAGGACCGAAGGACACTGCTGAGGGGAGCAGCGGGCGGCAGGAGAGGTCTGCTCGCCATGTGGGACCCTCCTCCGGTGGCCGGGGAGCAGCCGGGGATCGAACCGGCTGCAGAGGCTGCAGGCAGCTTCGCAACCCAGCGCTCAACCGCTGCGCCACCGGGGAGGCCCCTCCCAAGCTCTTTAAATCTTGATGTGAGTTTACTTCTGTGATCATGTATGAGATTTTGACATTGCTGCCTTTTGTACTGTGTTGAGGATCTTTTCATTGACACTACATGCAAAATATCAGGAGGAGCCTGTTTTGGCCTAACTGCCACTCTAAACAGGTGTTTTTGTTTGCCTTCTTTGCAAAAAATTCAAATCTAACCTATCACTTAAAATTCTATAATGCTTCCCACCTACCTGTGGAACCAAGTCCCTGAACCTTAGCTTGGCATTGAACACCCCACACAGTGTCACCTTTCTACTCTCCCAGGCTCCTTTACTGATGATGTGCATTCCAGGGAAGGAAATCTATCCCAAGGGAAAGAGTTTAGCTTTGGTGCCAAGAGGACCTGAGTTAAAATCCTGGCTTCCATTCATCACCTCTGGTTCTGAACTTGTGCAGTCAGTTTATTCCACATTTCTGAGCCTACCTTTCCTCTTCTGAAACAGGGGAGTGGTAATTCTTATCTGACAAAATTGTGAACATTAAATGGAACAAGGTGTGTGTAGTGCCCACCTGAATTCTTCTGAAGTTCAAGTAAACATACAGACTCACAACACCATCACGCACCACATTTGTTGCCAGCTGACCAGCATAGCAGCATCAGGGGTTCCTCAGCAGGGGCCTTGCAGTTCAAGCAGTTGGAACAACTAACAGCTCACACACCCATTTGAGGACTCTTGTCTCTCCATATGGTTTCAGGTACAAAGCACAAGATGTCCATGAGGCATGTACAGGAGCTACCCTTAGAAGAAGCTTGATGCCCTAAGCATTCATTAACTTTAGGAACAATTCTTTGGCTGAGTTGCTAGAGTTCCCCACAAGAGACTGCATTCAGGGAAATCCAAAGTGTAACGTCCTCATCAGATATTTACAGCTCATTTATACTTCTTCCAGTCCAGATGCAATTTACCAATCAGGGATCATTTTTTTATCATAAGCAATGTTGCCTAGCAATATAATTTGATGCCTACTATCTACCTGGTTTCCAAGGTAACAGAGCTAGGTGGTTAAACCAAAGGTCAGATTCTCAAGCAGCAAGGGAAAAGGTTTGTTAACCCTTTCATCTCAGGAAGCAGCAGATTCAAGCAGGGACCACACGCATCATAGTTATCAAATTACTCCAGTTCATATTTTAATAAATACTAACTTTAATAAATATTTAAGAGCTTACAGTGTGAACCAGGAACTAAGCCAAGCACTGAGAATATGTGGTAAGTTAGAAGAGATGGTGCTTGTCTTCATTTTTATTCCTCCACTTGTTATGCCTTAATTCCTTTCATTTCCTGAAGAACTCCTTCCTATTTATCCTTCCATGGACAACTCAAGGAAGATGTTGTCTGTTCTCTGAAGTCCATGTGTGCTCTGCTAGCACTTTGCATTGCCCTGAATTAATGGACTGGTTTTGGGAATCCCTGTATATAATATGCAGATTTTGTGTGCATGTAGGAATAGATATTTGCAAAAAATGGTTAAAGCTTTCATTAAATTTTCAAATGAGTCTGTGCCATCTCCTTCTTCCTAGGTTCCCCCCAAATCTTTTATAAGCATTTATTATATTATGATTTTGTTACATGTTTACAGGTTTCTATTTTCTACTAGAACATGAGTAACTTGAGAATAGGGACTGTATATATTAACATTTTATATCAGTTGAGTGCCCAATTCATAGATTTTTGGAAAATATACACTTGAAAGAATCACTTCTTAATATTTTTAACGGACTTAGTAACTTGAATGATGCTAGTGGTGTAGCATTTCCTAATTTGAAAGGGAAAGTCCTTCCTTGCATTAAGTGAAATCAGAGTTTTTGTTCCTTGCTTTGTCCTCTGAAGTTATGTATTAAATGTCTGCACCCTTCCTGATGTTAACTGCCTTTTTATGAAACTCACAGTTGATTGGGGAATCAGAAAAATGCTTAACATTGGGAATCATTAAAATTGATTATTCACATCTTAAATCTTTTAATTTAAAACATGTAAATATACATTAATTTACTAGTGTTTTATTGTGAGACCAACATCTTTGTGTGTGTGTGTGTGTGTGATGAAAAAATGTTTTAGTGCTAATATTAAATTTTTTTTTATTGAGGTAATATTTTCCAATGTTGTTTTTGTTTTAGAGGTGTAGGATCTCCCCCCTTCAGGTGTTCTTACCACACCACACCCACCATCAGGGCACCCATAGTCTTCCATCATAATTGATTGTCCTCCTTTTCCTTCCCCACCCCAGTCTCAGCTTTACAGTCAGGTTTGTTGGTTTTGTTATTGGTTAGATCTGACCATTTGTTTTGCTTCTTTATATTCCACATATAAGTGAAACCTTCTGGTATTTGTCTTTTGCCTTCTGACTTATTTCACTTGGAAGAATCCCTTCCAATTCCACACATATTGGTGCAAAAGGCAAGAATTTATCTGTTTTTTTCAAGATTGAGTAGTATTCCATTGTGTTCATCTTCCTGATCTGCCCATCTATTTTTGCGTACCAAGTTGTTTCTATAACTTGGCTATTGTAAATAGTGCTGCAATGAACACAGGAATGCATATATTCCTTTGAATTAGTGTTTTAGATTCTTCAGGTAGTTACCTAGGAGTGAACTTCTGAATCATATGGTGGATCCATTTTTAATATTTTGAGAAGCCTCCATTTTATTTTCCTTAGGGGCTGGACTAACTTACATTCCCACCAATGGTGTGCAAGGATTCCTTTTGCTCCACATTCTCCCAACATTTTTTTCCAAGACACTTTTTTCTTCTTGTTAAATATGAATCCACTTTTGTATAGCTTTTTTTTTTTTTTTTAACTGAAGCCATCTTAAATACAGCATCTACATTTTATTGTTTGGGTTTCTTTAAAGTGCAACGAAAATTTAGACATTCTTGAAGTAACTGGATTGCAGAGTTCTCCTAGATTTTTACTTTTCCTCCCTCTCCCTAGTGTGCTATAGTTATATCTCCAGGTATTTTCCAATAACTTACTTTTATCATTTAAAATCTGTAGTTTTCAGAAGAATAGCAACTGATATTACTTTGGTTTACATACTATTTAATTAGATTACATAGCTAAGATAATATGTATAAGTGGCATAACACAATTGTCTTTTGGATCAGTGATCAGAGTGGAGTTTGTGAGTACTTAGGGAACTTTAAGCATTCACAGAACTGTGGGCCTTATGAGGACCATAAGTATATTTATTTCTCTGCTCAATTTTTCTAAGGATAAATTATTTCAAAAATTCATCGTCTTGCACTATCTTCTTTTCCCTGTAGACTACTGATTCTCCTAATTTAGAGTAGAAAAGAAACCATGTTTGGCTTTTCTTCTGGTAAAGTCTCAGAAGTGTATTGTCCAGAAAAGATAAAACCTTAAAAAAATTACTATATAAGAGCTATCTTTGCCATTTTGTAATTTTTTATAAATCTAAAATTACTCCAAAATGAAATTTATTAAAAAATAGTAATGGAAGTGCTCACCAAAGAAAGGATTGCATGACTTGAAATTGAAGAAGAGTAAGCCAAATTAAAAGCCAATTACTGGAAAAAATATTTGCTTGCATAATAAAAGAGCCAATATTTTTCATGTAGAATCTACTTGTGCAAATTATTAAGAAGATACCGATACCTCATTGGAAAGGAGATATTGATCATCATTCACTGGAGAAACACAGCATTCAATAAATAAAAAAGCAGTTCAATCTTACCAGTTATTAAAGAATTGCTGATTAAAGCAGAATTGAGACCATTTTAGCCATTACATGGGAAAAATGATAGTATTCAATTCTGAGGAAGACAGGTGGAAGATTATAGATTGCTATAGCTATTCTGGAAAGCAGATTTCTAATATTGATACTGGGTTTTAATATACACATCATTTGTACACTTAGAAGATTTTTCTCCCCAGCAAATAATCAGATATGTACCCAAATCTTCTAGTAGGAGTGTTCTTTATAGTCTTGTTGATAATGACAAACTTGAAAAATATCTAACTGTAAGGGAATGATCTATCTAGACAGTTTTGGCAGGCCTATGGGTATTATGATCATGATTAAGAATTATAACTCAACTAAATAAAAACAACGACAGTTAGATATAGTTAGTGTTTATTTTCTGATCTCAGACTATGTATATGTGTACATATACATATGTATACATATATCCCAGACTTTAGGTATATGTGTACATCTTGGAAGGATGGCAAAGAAATTTATTGACATGTCAGAAGTAGTTACTTGTTCTTGGCTAGTGAGGAAAGGATGACTTGTTTTCTTAATATCTCTGCATTTTCAAAACTGCCTATAGTAAGTAAATATTGCTTTTATAATGGGGAAAAGTTAATATTGCAAGCAACGTGGTTAATGAGTTTCCTCTTTCATGCTGATTTCCATTTTGTTCTGTAAAATATTGTTTCTTCTTTTTCCACTAGGAAGCTCCTTAGGGTGCTCCCACTGCCGAGTGAGAACTGGGGAGCTCTAGTTGGAGAATGGTGCTGTCATCCTGATCCCTTTGCTAATAAACCACTTCATCCACAAGAGAATGATTGTTTTATTGGAGACTCTTTCTTCTTGGTGAATTTAAGAAGTGATTTGTGGCAGCCAAACCCTGAATTAACCCCAGTGGAGAAGCACTGTCTTTCTTCAGAGAACCATTTTAAATTGGTAAATTATCTTTTCAAAATAAATGCCGATATAGTGGTTGTCTTAGAAACTGGTTTCTCCATTCTTTTAATTCAGGGCACGTTACACAACTGTTCTAAAGGCTGAAATCCATTATTTTCAACTGCCTCTATTCTCCAGCTCTGCTCTATTAATACAGGAAGAGAATATGGCCTTAAACCAAAACAGCCACAAGGGCTGGAGGAAGTAGGGAGAGATTTCTTAATGCGTAGAATTGGGAGTGTTACCATTTTACAAAGCCAAAATGCTCTACTCTCTTGTTTTTAGTACAGTATTCCATAATCTGTATGCATTTTATTTCTAATCAAATTCAGAGTGTCCTCTTGCTCCAGGATACCCTGGAGCACAGATAAGCCTCAATATTTTACTGTCTGTCCTTGGAATACACTTGCTGGTGTCATAAAAGCAGATGCCATCAAGGAAAAAGGAAACGGAGGCGGCCAAGCGTGGAAATAAAGCTCATGCCACAGGCTCTAAGTTGGTGCTTTGACAACGTGAGGTCAGGTGGCTGTTGCTATAAAAGTTGCTTTAGAGAGAAGGCAATTTCCTCTCACTGCAGAGAACAAGTGGTTTACCTTATTTTAAAAGGAAATCAATGACATTGACTTGACTCTTGTGAGAAATCATTCCCTTGATAAGTCAATGCAGATGTGATTTAAAAAATAAAGAAAATCGTTGCCAGAGAATCCTCATTTTAACATATGATTATTGGTAGGAACAAAAGTATTGTGTATTAAATTTCACTTAGAGTTCATTTAATTGTTTTAATGGGACCTGAGCCATTTCAGGATATAGATAACAGTTGGGCAGCTCTTTAGGTTGTAAGTTAATTATAGAAGTATTTTCTATCTTGATGGAGATGAAGGAAGTTCATCAAATGTCAGTTAAGTTGTAAGTTAAAATTATTTAAGTGACTCATCTCTCACCATAAATACAAATTCCTTTTCCTAAATTTGGCTCATTATAATGCCATAAATGTCTATATTTTTAAAAGATAAATGATAAGTTATTACATGTATGTAATAACTAAATTTTAACCTGTTATATACAAATGATATTTTAATTTAAATTTATACACTAGTATTTTACTTTTTTATGCCTTTTATTTTTATGATTAAATTGTTGTTTGAAAAATATTTGGAAGGTTTGAATGAGAGAGGAGTGGAGAAAAATAAAAGAAACCACAAGTTTTCCTTTTTAAACTGCACATGAACTACATATAAATGTGGAAATATATTCACATTTATATCTTTGCTAGTTATATAATGCCATTGACAGGAATTTCTCTTAATTGTTAATAACCGTCCTATGTATTAAAGGGAGACCCTTCATATTTAAACTTTATGGTTTTTAGTATGAAGGTGACTATGAGAAATTACTGTTGTGACCAGCTGTGGTTGATAAGATGTTTTCAAGTTAGCCTAGGTGAAAGTCTTGCTTTAATTGCAGATTGGAGCCATTGAAAGAGTATGCCTGCGACCAGAATAGTAACATAAATTTGGAGGGGCTGCTTAAACAGTGCTCTCAGGGCTCCTATGGGAACAAATCTGCTCTGTGCTATTGTAAACCTATTTCTCATATCACCCAGTCTAGCCATCTAGCAAGGTTTTGAAATGTCATACAGTGACACAGCATCCTAATGGTATCTCGTGGGAAACATTTTTTTGGCAAGACAATATCAAGAGTCTTTAGAAACTGAAACAACACAAAGGAAAATAAAACTGTGGACAGGAGGCTAATCCACCTCTGAGCAGCAGTGCCATCTCTCAGATATATTGATTTAATTAGTCCACAACAATGTCTTTCTTTGATGATTGCTCTGTAGCGTTCTCACACTGTTAGGCTGATTCATTGCACAACTTGCTTTATTATTTCTTTTAAGCACAGGTCAAGCAAAATACATTACAAAGCAGAGTTTCTCTTAAAACAAAATTAGAGGTGTTATATTTTAATTTAAAAGATCTGATTTAAAAAACAAAGTCCAACACCTATTATTTCCTTCAATACTCCTTGAGTGTACAGTATATTATTTACGTTCCTGTTAATGAGATAGTCTGTATCTTTGGTTTTCTAGCGATAACTGCTGTCGATTTCCTTTTTCTTGCATTTATTTGTCACCCCGTTGTATTTAGTATAGAATGATAAAGATGACACCTTAATCTTTTATAAGAGTCATAATATTATTACAGACTTTGTTGCATTTGAAACTTTATTCTACTTTTTTTTCTTTACATTTTAAAAAGACAGGTTTATTAGGAAAAGGAGAGAGAAGTAGAGGCAGCTGCATAGTCACAGGTAGACAGGAGAGCTGTTAAATATATTTTAGTTTTTCAAGAACAGATGAAATTGAACTTTAATTATGTTAAGGTGGGCATGGATGACTATCTTTTATTCTTTCCTGGGGTATTTAGCAATAATTTATTGATTTTGGTAATTTATTTGTGTTGTTAAATCTATAAGGGTGTCTTTTTTATGTTCTCAGAAAAATGTGTAGTTGAATTTTGTAAACATTCACAAATGTAAGAAGAAATGTTCTATAAACATCTGTAAACAAGTCTTGATTCATGGAATGTGCTTCCTCTGTCCTTTTATGATTATTATTTTTTATTGTTATTATTATTATTATTTTGCTCAAGTGCTTTAAAGTAAGTCCCAGGTATTATTTCTTTTCATCTTTGTAAGTTTCAGTTTATACATATATACAAACGACCTCAGTGTTGTTTTCACCAATGACAAAGTTGACAATTACTAGTTGATGATAATATACCATGCCATTATATAGATTTTACCAGCTGTTTTAAAGGTCTCTTTTATTGTTTTTTTAAATCAAAATCCATTGTTTTAGGTAATTGGCTTTTTACTGGTGTCACTTGAAAAATTATGACTACCCATGTCTTGAAAATGTTGAAAGTTATTTTAAAAACACAGCCAAAAAAAAAAAATCCTCTTTTCCTGCTTTACTAGTAGACACATCAAAATGCACTGTATGAGCAATTATAAATGAAATAGATAGCAGTGCACCTGATAAAAAATTTGTTTTGAGTAGAAATAGCTTCTCAATCACTGCTACTCCAGTATCCTATATTAGTTATTAGTAAAGCCCTTTGTTTTGGGTAAGATTTAATGAGGATAGTCCCATTTAACTAGTACAAAACAGGATCCTTTTAAGAGTCTTTAAAGACAACTGGGAGCCATAGAGATTGACTTTGCCATAAGAGACTATGAAACTACCAAAACACCAGACTTTACAATTGAGTTCCCCTAGGTTCTGACTTTTTTTTCCTGTAACCTTGACTAGATTTGCATCTACCTTGTGTCTATGTTTGTGACTTTTGACTTTTTTTGATCTCTAAGAATCCCATGTTTTTACGTCAAAATCTGAAAACATACATACACACACACACACACGTATGCAGATACACCTCAGATAAGTTTCTTGAAGTAGTACTTACCCTATGTTTGAAGCACATCCATTAGATTAATACATATGTTATCTCACATCATAAAGTCAGTTTTCCCTTACTTAGATCAGCCCTCTGCTTTGTAATTTCGCCACAGGAGTCACCCTAAGAGGCCAGAGTTGCAGAATTTCCTTATCCCTGCCCACTCTTACATGGCTTCTGCCTTATTGTAGTTTGTCTGGGTGAAAATATTGTATGACTTTTTAACAGAGGTACTTCTATGGATGTGGAAAAAAGTATTCTTTTGTTTGCTTAATGGTTAGGGGAGTGCTAGCTACTTTATTCTCTATTCCAAATGATGAGTGTGGATTTCTGGAGTTTCAGAATGTTTTAAAGAATGTTTTGGGCATTTGTCCCAGACACTACCCATCTTTCCAGTTACAGTGCATATTTTAAATGGAAAAATAGAATTACATGAACAGGTTAGATATTTTTTACTTCCGAGAGGTGGTTATGAATTATAGATAACAAATTACACTGTATTAGACATCAAAATAATATGGTTGAAATTCCAATTCTGTTTTCTAGACATGAGTTGGGAAAAGTCATGTATCCTCTCTGCCTTTTTTGTTGTCAACCATCTGCCTATTTTGAATGATAAGTCTGTTTACAAGTGCTTTTTAGAAATGTATGGTGCTTCTTCAAATTATTTGACAATATTTAGGTTATCGCAAAATGACTAACTTGGAAAAATATCAGTCTATTCATTATTCTATCTTTAAAAATAAAAAAAATGATCTCTGTGCATGTGAATTATGCATACTAGCTAAATGTATTCCCAGTATTTAGTAGAGGGCAAAATAAAATGTAAAGTTCAATGTAAACTCTAGAGACTATGTTAAAATTATATATTCCTTTTAAGAAAAGCTGAATGACATTTAAATGACATTTTTCTGTTCTACAGAAACCAAAGGCAAATACCAAAGTAATTTGTAAACGTTGCAAGGTAATGTTGGGAGAGAGCGTGTCATCAGGTAAGAATTTCATAATAAGAAAACAAAATGATTACTTTCTTTTTTTAAAAAAAAAGGTGATTTTAAAGGAAATAGTGTATGAATAGAGATGTTTAATATATGTTGTAGAATTGATACTTTTGAAAATAGAAACCAACCAACATATCACCCAGTATGCCAAGAAGTTTATGTGCTTTGACCTTTATAGGCACACACACTGAGTTTTAACCATTGCGATATTGGATCATTTTCAATAAGCAATAATCTCTTTTGTAGATATAAGGCAATAATAAAATGTTTGTATCCGTAGCTGTCTTAAAAATGATTGGACCATTTTGTTTAATTGGATTTTGTAATAGTGAGGCTTTTTTTTTTTTTAAAAAAAAGATTTATTTTACTTTTATTTATTTATTTATTTATTTATACAAGCACTGGGTACAGTCAGAAGTGCGGGAGGGTGAGAGAATCCACCAGAGCCAGAGCAGGGAGCAGAGCAGGCAGAAGGACCGAAGCACACTGCTGAGGGGAGCAGCAGGCGGCAGGAGAGGTCTGCGCGCCATGTGGGACCCTCCTCCGGTGGCCAGGGAGCAGCCAGGGATCGAACCCCGCGCTTCAGAGGCTGCGGGCAGCTTCACAACCCAGCGCTCAACCGCTGCGCCAACGGGGAGTCCCCATGAGGCTTTTTTTAAAAATATTTTCTTCTCTTGACCAACTTATTCAATGCTGAATTCTAACATCATTGGGAAATAACTTACCCTTAGTTAAGATTGACAATATAATCACAGCTTCTATATTAATGACCTTGTTTAGGGTAAATGCTTAGTGTTAATAATAGGGGAAAAAATCTATGTACTTGGAAAATATGAGAAAAACAAGATTCTAAATCTCAAAAAAATTGATTGGACCATTTTTTCTTAATACAACTCCTATTCAAAAGTGTTGGTTGCCATAGATGATGGACAAGTTGCTTTTTTGGCACCCATCTCCCTAAGGGCTATATTTGGGGGCTGGAATAGGAGAGAATCTGTGAATTGGAAGAAAACACATTTTGAATTTTGTAATCTGTTTCCTGTTCTTTTCCTCATTAATGTTAATTATGCCTTAGATAAGTCTAAGTTATAATACTTTAAACCAGAGCAATGAAAGTCCTGATAAAATATGGTTTAGAAATGTCTACAAAGCTGTACATGCTGTGTTAGCTTTGTGGGTGATGAATAATTGCTTTTAATATAATTAATTAGAAGATATGATTTAAGTGAAACTATTGGTTTCAGGGAAGGCAGATGGTCGTATATTTTGTTTTTTAAACTATCAGAATCTTCTAAGTCACCACCTGCTCCGAGTCAACAGCAAAGGCAGAGGAATGAGTAGTAGTAAAAGATGTCACCTTCAGTGTCATTTTGAAAAATGAATGCAAATCCCTTAAGCAACAACTTAGTATTTTAAGGCTTCCAGTGAATTAGGGTGAATTGATTTTAAAAATTCTTTTCTCTCCTCCCTGAAACCCTGTTCAAATGTCAGTTAAGAAATAAAGAGATGTCCTCACAGAGACAAGTAAAAATAGTGTGAAGATGATAGTGACGTACACAAGAGGTATAAACAAATTTTTTTGGTAGTTTTTGTAAAGCCGAGAGAGGCGTGGAAACACACTTAGAAGCTGGTGTATGCAAAAGAGTTTGGATAACTGAGCCAGTTCTGAAAGCTAAAAGATCTTGGATGAATGCCTTCATAATTTGGTAGGAAAAGATTTTCAACCCGCAATTCTATACACAGTCAAACCATCATTCAATTATAAAGACAATAAGTACATTTTTGAAAATACAGGGTCATAAAACATAAAGCTCAAAGGTATATTTTCGATAGGAATCTATCATAAGATACACAGACATTTCTCACTTCACAGCAGGAATACATTCTGAAAATGTAACTTTAGTAACTTTAGATGATTTTGTGGTTTGCAAACGTCATGGAGTGTACATACACAAATCTAGATCAGGTACAGCCTACTACACACCTAAGCTGTATGGTATAATCCACTGCTCCTTTGCTGCACATTTGTGCAGCATGCTACTATACTGAACATCAGGAGTTGTATCACAATGGTATTTGTGATTCTAATCATAACAAGCTAAAGAAAAAGTATGGGAAAAAACAGGATAAAAAATAGAAAATAGTATGTCTATTTAGGGCCCTTCCTGTGCATGGAGCTTGCTGGACTAGGAGTTGCTCTGGGAGAGTCAGTGAGTGGTGAGTGAATGTGAAGGTCTAGGACATTACTGCACACTACTATAGGCTATAACATTGTACACTTACGGGACACTAAATTTATAAAAATATTGTTTTCTTTGTTCAACTATAAATTAAAGGAACTTAGCTCACTTTTTTATTTTATAAATTTTAGAATTTTTTAGACCTTTTCACTCTTGTAACACCTTAAAATATGCACATATAATTTAGCTGTATAAGAAACTTTTTTCTTTCATGTCATTCTATAAGCATTTTGATATTTAAAAATAATTTTAATCTCTTTACTTGAATTTTTTTTTTTTTTTAAATGGGACCACTTGCTGGTGGCCGGGGACCGAACCGGTGCTGCAGAGGCTGTGGGCAGCCTCGCAACCCAGCGCTTAACTGCTGCGCCACCACAGGAGGCCCACTTAAAAAAATTTTTTTGTTAAAAACTAAGACATAAACACATACATTAGCCTAGACTTACACAGGCTTAGGATCATCAATATCACTGTCTTCTTCCACATCTGAACCCACTGGTGGATCTTCAGGAGCAAAAGCTTGCATGGAATTTTATAGTTTTTATAATTTTTAAAAAGTATAATTGAAAATAAAAACTCAGTGGTGGTTTTATAGCATAGGTACAACTTAAAGAAAGCATTAATGGATTGGAAGAATAAACATTATTAAAATGGCCATCCTTCCAAAAGCAATATACAGATTCAATGCTATTCCAATCAAAATTTCAATGTCATTCTTCAAAGAAATAGAACAATTATTGATGAAATTCATATGGAATCACAAAAAACCCCGAATAGCCAAAGCTCTCCTGAAAAAAAAAAGAAGGGAATGGAGGCATCAGACTCCCAGACTTCAAACTATACTACAAAGCCATAATCATCAAAACTGCATGGTATTGGAACAAGAACAGACATACAGACCAATGGAATCGAATAGAAAATCCAGAAATAAACCCACAGATTTATGGTCAACTAATCTTTGACAAAGGAGCAAAGAATATGCATTGGAGCAAAGAAAGTTTGTTCAATAAATGGTGCTGGGAAAACTGGGTCGCTACATGCAAAAGAATGAAGCTTGACCACCACCTCACACCATACACAAAAATCAACTCAAAATGGATTAAAGAACTAGACATAAGACCTGAAACCATAAAATATATAGAAGGAAATATAGGCGAAACACTACGTGATTTGCACATCAAAGACATCTTTACAGACACATCACCCAAAGCAGTGATAGTGAAGGCAAAGATAAACAGCTGGGACTACATCAAATTAAAGAGCTTTTGCACAGCAAAAGAGACAATAACAAAAACAAAGAGAAACCCCACCAACTGGGAGAACATTTTTGCACCCAACACTAATGATAAAGGACTGATCAAAAAAATCTGCAAAGAGCTGATGAGACTCAACAACAACAAAGAAAATAATCCAGTCAAAAAATGGGCAGAAGAGCTTAAAAGAAACTTCTCTGAAGAGGAAATGCAAATGGCCAACAGGCATATGAAAAAATGTTCAACATCACTTGTCATCAGGGAAATGCAAATCAAAACTACCATGAGATACCATCTTACACCAGTGAGAATGGCACATATTAAAAAAACTAGCAACAACAAATGTTGGCGAGGGTGTGGAGAAAAAGGAACTCTTCTGCACTGTTGGTGGGAGTGCAAACTGGTCCAACCACTGTGGAAAGCTGTATGGAGATTTCTGGACCTACTAAACATAGAGCTTCCATATGATCCAGCAATTCCACTCCTAGGTATTTACCCAAAGGACACAGAAACATCAATTCCAAAGAACACCTGCACCCCTATGTTTATAGCAGCACTGTTTACAATAGCTAAGCTTTGGAAACAACCCAAATGCCCAAAAGTAGATGACTGGATCAAGAAGATGTGGTACATATATACCATGGAATATTACTCAGCATTCAAAAAAGATAAACACATGCAATTTGCAGCAAATGGATGGCGCTGGAAGGGATCATGCTCAGCGAAATAAGCCAAAAAGAAAAAGAAAAATACTGGATGGTCTCACTCATAGCAGGAATCTAGAAAACTTAAATAAGGGACCAGGAAAATGAATAACTATAAGAAAGTGAAAATCAAAATCAACAAAAAACTATGAACCAGAGACACTTTTAGGGGGGCGGGGGTGGGAGGGGAGGGATTGGGGTCAGAATGGGGGGGCTGCAACTGTATGGGGAATATAACAATAAAATTTATTAAAAAAAAAAAAATAAAGAATTCTAAAATTTTTCCAGAAATTTAGTGTAAAAAAAAAAAAAAAGAACTTCTTGTGAGATAAATAAAAAGAAATCTACAACAGGACACATCAGAGTAAGACTGCAGAAAATTTAAGAAACATAAAGCCTTAAAACCATTCAATGAAAAACAGATCACTTTCAAAGGAACAATAATGACACTATGTGCACAAAGAAATAACTGTTAAATGAGAATTTTATAGACGGTAACAATGCCCTGATATGAAAAATCAAGACAAAGATAAATGTACTTTTTGACAAAATTTAGGATACTTCATCTCAAGTGGTTTTGGTTTCTATTTAAAAAAAAAAAATCTTACTTTGTACCTCAAATTCTAGCAAATGATCCCAAACTGGAGGTCTAAGTTTCAAAAAGTGTTGTTAAAGTGGTAAATCTGTGGTTGACACAAAATTAACTATATAAAATATTAATATTGCTTTGTGGGATTAAAATTATAGAATTAAATTACAATGTAGCAGTTTAATAGTTGGGATCAAAGGCATCACTTCACAATGTTTAAAATTTCAATTCTGTATTTAATAACAGACTTCAAGACAGTAATGTGTAATTTGAACTTCAAGGAAAAATGCATCATCATGGCTTTTGATATGTAATAGCCTGTTCAACTGTGTATTTCTATTTTTTTGTCCTTTTCTGTGTTATATTGAGCAATTAAAAATATTTTCAGAAAATTTGCCAGGAACAACTTTCCATCTTATTAAAACAATTAAAAATTGTTTGTGTAGGGGCAGGAAGGGACAGTGCAGGTTTTCTATGACCCAGAGCAGACGGGTGAAGCAGCAGAGGTGTCCTGGAGCCCTCGGTGGCTTTTTCAGGCTTTTATTGCGATTTACCAGGCACACGGCAGGTAGGGGTGCTGGGGGGCCCAGGAGGCCTCCCGGCCCCCAGCGAGTCTTCCCTCTTTCTGGGCTCTCTGGTGTTCTCTTGCGTTCTCTCCGCTTCTCTTGTGGTTCTGTCTGGTTTCTGCTCTGCTCCTACTGTTTGCTCTCCTGGCGTCCCCGTGACACCTTTCTTACAAGCCCAGCCTTAGCCCAGGTGTACCCACTTATGCATGCCCACACCCTACTCCAGGTGCGGCCATCAGGCATGCATTCAGGCCCACAAGGATCCATCATCAATCCTAATGGCGTGAGGGCAGAAAAGCCTGATACTATTTATTTACCCTACAGTTTGGCATGCTGTTTTTAGTGATTGCATAGAATTTTGTTGCCTAAATATATAATTGTTTACTTAACTCGACCATCCTCAAATTTAATAATTGTCTATTAACATTTTGAGAATTTTTTTGGATCTTTTGTTTTCAGTAACTCCTACTATTGTAGCTACTCAACATCTGAGGAAACTAAATGACCAATTTCTACATAAGTGGCTAGGACTGTGATGTAACTAATTTTTATAACCTGTGTGTGAAAAGCGCCTTGCAGCACCATACTCACTGTGGGCATGCTCTCTGAAACAACTCTGTATAATCTGAAGTTCAGGACTGTCTCCATGTAGTCATCGATGCTTTGTCTGCTTAAACTCTTTTTTTTCCTATTATATCGTTGTTCATTTTTATACAATATCTGATTTCTCTCCTCAGGTGTAGTCCCCATAAATCTCCCATCACCACATCACCCATGAACCATCACCATAGTCCCTTGTGCTTTTCCCTCCCCTGTCTTGACTTCTCTCCCCCGCCCCCTGCTGTGTGTCTCACATCTATAACTTTCCTGCTAGTTTTGTCTTTTTTCTGACCCTTTGTTCAGTTTCCCTCCTATGAGTGAAACCATACAATATATTTATTTTTCTTTCTCATTAAAATAAGTCATTTTTGAAATGTTTTACTAAATATTAATTTTACCAGCATGCCAGATATTCAGTTTAGAATATCATAATTTGGAACCAACATATCCACACTGTAGGGTAAGGAAAAATGTCAGGCTTTTCTGCCCTCCTGCCATCAGGATAGATGATGGATCCTTGCGGTCCTGAATGCATGCCTTATGGCGGGCACCTGGAGTAGGGTGTGGGCATAGGTAGATGAGATTCACCTGGGCTAAGACTGGGCTTTTCAGGGCGGCATCACGGGGACGCCAGCAGCAGCAGAAGCCTAAAGAGTAGCCGAGAAAGCAGCAGCAGAAGCCAAGAGAGAAACAGAGAACACCGGAGAGCCCAAATAGAGTGAGGATTTGCTGGGGGCTGGGAGGACTGCCAGCCTCCTGGCCCCCCAGTACCCCTGCCTGCTGTGTACCTGGTAATCTAAATAAAAAACCTGCAAAAGCCACTGAGGACTCTGACTCCTCCTTTACCTGGTCTGCTGGATCCTAGAAAACCTGCCCAGTGGTCCTTCCTGCCCATACACACACAAAAAAGATACTAGTGTTTAGGGACATTTTTAACTTTCTTGTTTTTTGTTTCTAGAAACGACTAAGTTTTATATGACAGAGATAATTATTCAGCCATCTGAGGGAAATTTTTCCATCATACCAAGGTACCAAGCAAATTAAATGTATTCTGTAATTTCAAATGTAGGGAAAGAAGTTCAATTTGTTATTTGGGAGTTCATTTTACTTTATATCTCTTTATTTGAAAAGGTAAAAATAAAAGCTTTGAGAACAGCTTTTAGATTTTAAACTAAACCACATATAAAAACCTTGAGAATTTAATTTTCACTTGCTTCTGTAATAGTATAGACAGATGCATCCATATAAATATTAATTTTCAAAGTCCTTTGTGCTTTTTTCTATGTGCCGAATGTCCAAAGTCTTATAGCCTAATTGTCAGTAATTATTTCTGGTTTTAATTTGACTTCTTAAAATTTGAAACATGGATCAAACATGGATCAATTTTCAAGGGTGTGGGTGTGTGTGTGTGTGTTAATGATACTTAGCAGTAAAACCCATTAGTGTGTCTCTGAATCCTTTTAGTTTGCAAATGAGTTAACTGTTACATATTTTTACTTCAGTTTATAATATCTAAACATTTTGGCAATCTGAATATATCCTTAAACACTATCCTTTTGTAAATATTTTAATTCTGTACCTCAAATCTGACATTTAGAGGGATACAAATGGAAAACATTGTTGATAATATTGTTTCATGTTTGGGAGGAAACATTTAAATTTCTGTTAAACTTAGATATTCACTATTTAATTTGTTATAACACAGATAAATATGGCTAATTGGATATAATATTTTTTATTCTATAGGGGAAATAAATAGGTTTGGGGTAGAAAAAATATTAAAGAATTGGCGAATAGATTATCAGAAGGATAAAACAAACAAACACTTTAAAGTTTATTAAAATTCACATTAACACTACTCTGAGAGAATGAGCTGTGGATAGAAGTGTGGCATATTCATCCCTCTGCCTTTCAGGTACCCTGGGTATTTTGACTCACCTTGTCTGTTCCAATTATTGTGAGAGGCCCATTGTGAAAATTGATTTCTGTTCAAACAGGTCTCAGTTTGTACAGAGCATTATCACCCAGTGTCTGGTGGAAATCTCCTCTGCGAGAAGCACTTTTAGATTCACTATTCAAGATGAAGATGGCAAGGTGTATATCTTGGTGAGAAATTATTTCACCCAGCTTTTCGTAGTCTAGTAATCCAGAATCTCAAAAATTCTTTAGTCTTTGTCATTATTTTCTTTTCATTCTCAGGTTTAGCAAGTAAGTGATCAAAAATAGCTTCATTCATAAATAAAAACTCCCTTAATTTAGTAATAGGCTGTGAAGTGCCTCTCTACTAGGTACTGGGGAAATAGAAATAAATCCTGATTCTTGGTCTAGAGAAACTGACACCTCAAAATAAGGTTTTCACTCTCAGTTTTTGATGGCTTTTCTTGGTCAGTATAACGCAATCTCTTTCTCACTTTTTCTTTCCATTTGATACTCATTTAAAATATATCCCATTGCTTCTGTGATAGGAACACTTTAACACAAGATATCCTTAGAATTTGTTCATCTTTCCTAACTGATGCTTTACACTAACTTAAATGTTGATTAGCAACTTCCCTTTTCTCCCTTCCTTTGTCCCTGGCAACTACAATTCTACTCTGTGTCTGTGAATGATTATTTTAGATACCTCCTATAAGTGGAATCTTGCAGTATGTGGTCCTTTAGTATCTGGCTTTTTTTGTCACTTCTCATAATATACTCAAGGTTCATCTATGTTGTTGCACACTATTGGATTTCCTTCTTACAAGCTGAATAATTTTCCATTGTATTTTTAGCATATTTTCTTTATCCATTTTGATTGTTTCTATGGTCTTGGCTATTGTAAATTTCCCTACAATGATTATTTTTTGACTAAAGTTGGTACTACATGCACCTTATTGTCTAAAATCAGTTTTAATTTTCTTTTGTTGGAAGGTTTTCAAGTTACAAATTTTCAAGAAAATTAGGAGTAGGAATTTTTTAAACCTTCTACCAGTTCATAATTTAAAAAAAATATTATAAAAGTAATATATTCTTGAAAGACATTTCAAACATGAAGTACATTGAAAAACGGTGGTCCCCTCATTTTGTCTCCTGTCCTGGCCTGCTGTATCATTCTATGTGGAGGTAATCACCATTAATAATCTGATATGTATACTGCTACAGTTCCCCCATATCTTTATACCTCTATATGTATATATATTCACAAGTACTTGTTTGTAAAAACCCAGGATGGTGTAATTAATATTAGTCTTCAACATGCTTCCTATAACATTGTACGTGAGGATTGTTTCTTGTTAGTGTAAATATAGATTGAACTCTTTAATGGCTAGGATTCCATTTTCCAGCTAAGAAAGATAGTACTATGATGAAAATGATCTTTGGACATGTATTTAATTCTTCTTTAAAAGCTTTTTTTACTTTATGTTGTTGGTTGTTCTGCAGAAGATATACTTTGAAATACTTACCCTACTTAAAAATCATGTATGTAATTCTACATTTTTTCCCCTGGTATTTTATAATTGTGTTTTGGGGTTTTTTTGTTTTTTTGTTTGTTCGTTTTTTTGAGCAGTGGTTTGAGATATGGATATAATAGTGATATCCTTATACTTGTACTTTGTTCTCTATCCCTTTAGCTATGGCTTTTGAACTCTGACAGTTTGGTGATTGACTCTTTTGGAAATTCTAAAAGTATGAAAAAATTCCCCCTGTTGGAAAACATATTGAAGACAGATTCCAGTTCTGCTTGGAATGCTGTCAAGGTCCTCTACCAACCATGCATCAAAAGAAGAAACGAAAAGTAAGTGTCCTTCCTTTTCTCATTCCATATGATTTAATTTCTGTTGCCATATTGGCATTGAGAAATTAATGAATTAAATGGTACTGTACTACTTTCCTATTTGAAACTTCTAGAACTCATACTGCTAAATATTATGTTTTTAAAGTGGATTGAATTATTACAGGTGACTTATACTAATGTGCAGAAAATTCACTTTTACTGAAAATAATTGGTTCTTTTCCTGTAATCTTAGCTGTCTGTACATATGACTGCAGGACTAAATTAGGTGTCAAGCATTCAGGATACAATAGTGAACAAAACAAAGTTCCTGACTCCTGGAGTTTTCATTTTAGCAGGAGGAAGGTAGACCATGAACAAAACAGACCAAAAAAAAAAAAAAAAAAAATCAAAGCTAAATGACTTTTGCTATGAGTTGTTACTCATCTCAGGTTTTCTAGTTCATTTAAATCTCAAGTTACCCTGTAGAGTATCACCCCCTTTTAAAGCTAGAGCACTAAGACTTGGGTACTAAATTACTGTAGTAAAATCGAAAGCAAGGTTAGTAGTTGGGGAGTGATAGAATGGGTGTAGAGAGATGGTCATTTTATATTGAAATGTTAAGGAAGATTCCTCAAATAATATATTTAAGTGGAACACATGAAAGAAGTGAAAGAGTGAGCCATATCTGAGGGAAGAGCATTCCTGGCAGAAGGAACAGAAAATATTCTTCTTTGAACAGATTGGAAGTTTATGTTTGTCCTGTTCTCTCAACTGGGTTTAATCAAATGTGTACTAAGAACAGAAAGATCCCAGTCATTTTTTGGGAAATAAATAAAATTTTAAAATTCTTTGCTTTGCTTTTTTGAATTATGCAAGCAGCACAAATCATAAAATCTTCAAGCAGTAAAGCTATACATATATCAATAGTATGAAAGAACTCTCTCATGTCCCTATCTAGAAGTAAAATGTATGTGTTTATTCTTCAAATAATTATTCTAATTATTTTGCATCTTAACTTGTATAGTTCATGTTTTTACACACACACATGCACACATACGCACACACTCTCTGTTTTTGAGTCTCTTCCTGGGGTGGCCTTTCTGGGCATTTTATGAAATGGATACACTGTAAGTAATGAATAATTTTCTTATTGATAGATATTTAGGTTATTACTTTTTTGCTGCTATAATTACTATTGCATTGTGTGTTATATAATTGTTTTGTGATTATGTGTAAGTTTTTTAATAAGAGGGATTTCTAGAAATTGAATTACGGCATAAGGGGTAAGACATTAAAAATTTGATAGATATTATAAACTTGTTTTGCGAAAAGGTTTTGTAAATTTTTACTTCCACCTAAAGATTCTATAAGCACGCATTTCCCTTCACCCTCACTCAAACTGCCCTTTTAATATAAAGACTTCTATATTCCTCTTCTTTGTTTGAAATGTAGATTTATGAAAGAGGTGTGCTAAATCTTGACTTTAATTTTGGGAAAGTTATTTTGTTCTGATTTTAATGCCAGTTTTCACATTATGTATTTTGAAACTATTATTAGGTACATAAACATTTATTACATGATAGTTTGACTAATTGCATATTTTATAAGTAGGAATTTTATTCTCTCATTTGATACTATTTTCCTTTAACTTGCCTGATGTTAATATTACTAATGTCCAAATTGATATCCAAAAATAAGTTTAATAATTTCAGTTTACTTGTTGTAATAATTTCTTTTGTTGTGCTTTTCCTCCTGCTACTGTTTGACTGTGTCACTCAAAAGTAAGGGAGTAATTTTGCAGGTTGGGTAAGGTGAGGTACTTTTGTCTTTTAAGGACATAAGTTTCTTTCTTTTGGGGCATGACTAAGCAAACTGTAGACTCCCTGGCATATTTTTGGACATGGAGTGGTACATTAACTATTTTAATCCAATTGGCTGAATTTTTTTTTTCCAGGGAAATGTGTATTGCCAGATGGAGATCTAAAAGAGGAAAATAGCAAATGTAACTTTGGTCTTATTTCCTTGAGGACGTACGAAAAAGTGGAATGTAATATTTTTAGAATGTTCTTTCTTTCTAGCAAAAGACACGCGTCTCTTAACATTTTGAAATCTATTGTTTTTTAAACCTCCTGCCCCCGACCCACAGTTACCCTGAAACTTGCATTCTTTATTTTGCATATCAGAGTTTTGATCCTAAGTATTAACTTCTTAGGTTTGGTCTCTAAATTAACTTCTGCCTTTTACTTCTGCTAATTCAGCAATTACCATATGGTCTCATAGTCTTTAAGTTGAAGGTGATTTTGTGCTTTAGGGACATTTGGTAATAATCTGGATACATTTTTGGTTGCAAAAGTTTTCTGATTTCTTAATATCCTGAACAACACTTGTTTTTTTTTTTGGTTTGTTATTTTTTTTTTATAGTGACCATTTTAATAGGTTTGAAGTGGTACCTCACTGTGGTTTCGATTTACATTTTTTTTCTGATGATTGGTGATATTGAACATCTTTCATTTAGTTGTTGATCATTTGTGTATCTTCCTTGGAGAAATATCTGTTTAAGTACTTTGCCCATTTTTAAATTGGATTGTCTTTTTTTGTAGTTGAATTGTAGAGGTTCTTTATATGTTCAGATATTTACCCCTTATGACACGTAAGACCTGCAAATATAAGACATGCAAATATATTTTCTCTTTCCAAAGGTTCCCTTTTGTCTCTGTTGTGTCTTTTAACACACAAAGCCTTTAAATTTGATATAGCTCTATTTGCCTTGTTTTACTTCTGCTGTCTTTTAGTGTCATATCATAGAAATCATTTCTAAATTCTGCTTAATTTTCATGCTCCACAGCTGATGTGGCAGAGAGTATCTATCATTGCCTAAAATTCAAATGTTATCAAACCCTAAAGAGTCATATCAAGTGAGTGTCTTCTACTTCCTCCCACAAGGAGCACAGAATGACACTGTCTGTACACTCTAATTAGGGACTATGACTTTGCAGAGTACAGTAAACTTAAGTGTCAGGTATGAATGTCCAAGTCTTAAATTTTGTAAGTGAGGAAACTGAGTACCAATAAGAGAAATAAGTGCAGTTTGTCAATTCCTTGGTTGGTGAAAGAGGCAGCATTATAGCCAGGTTGTCATGATTCCAAATTCAGTGCTTTTTCATTATGTAGTCCCTTACCTTAAAATTTTAGGTCAGAAAATATCACTATAAAAATAAATTATTCTTCAAGAGCAATTCCCTTAGTAGTTTAAAATGTGTCAGCATTTTGATTACTCTCCTAAATATACTGCTTACTATCAATATATTTAGTGAATACTTAAGCATTTTAGTTTGTAGTGTCAGTAGCAAAAATTCAGATTTATAATATGTTCATATATGATCTTATATCAGAATCCAAGCATATAAATGTTTTTTCAAAAGTCTGTTGCCTTAGCCTAAGAACAGAACTCCATTGAAAGGAAATTAATCAAAAAATACAGTAAAGTAATCAGACACTTCTGGGAAAATCTAAATGCTACTTTGGAAAACACTTTTAATGCATTTGTCTGTTAGAACTATATTGTCACCAAGATTTATTCATTTGGAGACCATTCTTCATTATGAAGCAAGCTGAGCGCACACGTCTTTGATTGTGATTGGACTAATCCCCCCCATTGAGTGGACCGTGAAAATACAGTAGCCTAAATTCAAACTTGTTGTATTTGAAATCCCTATATGACCATTAACTGATTTGTAATCATTAAAGAAGTTGTTTTTTAGAGATTCTAGTCAAAGCAGTTTTCCTATGGAAAGCAGTTAATCTCTTGGGATTAGTTTCCTGGGGGTAATCTGGTTTCCTTCCTCTGATGAAGGAATATGGGACAACTATAGTCCTCACCTGTGAGAGTAAAAGGGGGGAAGGGACTGGGGTTAGATAAATGAAGAGAAATGTTTATATGAAATGTTCTGTTACTTTTCTGAGTTTTCTAATCAGGTGTTAAGTGTTTCTATGAATAAAACCTAGAGTTTTGATCTTAAACTTTCACATCAGAAGGGTTTGGGTATTTCTTTTTCCTCCTTTTCTTTTTTCCCCTACTATACTTGGTATTGTATGTGATTCCAAAGCAAGAGAGCAAAAAAATTCTACCTAAAGGATCATGCAGTAAATTTAAAGCAACAGTGGTGATTATAAAAAATTCTTTCAAAGATCAAAATCTGCATACTTGCTGAGGAACAGATTTTCATGGAAAACAGTGTTCATTAGCTGAATTAAAGACAAAAGAAGAAAAGTGGGAAGTTCTCTCTCCTCCATTCCACCCACACCCCAGTAAAAACTGAAAAGGTCTGGGCAGAGAAAGTGTGGTTGTTTTCATATTAGTGGCTTCTAGGGAGCTTCAGTAGGCCGTTGCCCGTGGAACAGCATAGTGGGCGTGTGTGGTCATCTACCCCAGAGTGACTCCATTTATCTGTTTAACATATTAGGTCTCCTCAGAAAGCTTTTGTTTGAAACAACAATAAACCCGAGACACACTACAGCACGGGAGAAGGGAGTAGGATCAAAATAAGGGGAGGTGGGAATTGTATGGGGACTAGAACCAAGATGAAAATGCATACATTGTGCAAAAATGAAAAGTAATGTAAAAATTATATAAAATAAAATTTAAAAAATTATAAAATAAAGGAAAAAAAAGCTTTTGTTTGAAAAAAGGATTCCACACCTCATGCAAAAATGTATATTTCCAGACTTCGGTGCCACGTGAACATAGTTCTGTTTATTTGGTTGATCATCCTTTTGTTGAGCTGAAATATGCCTCTAAAAACTCTTACCCAGACCTACCAAAACTTAATCTTCTATTTCTCCAGTGTTATATCTTATATTACCTGAGTACTTTTTTAAATCTAAGAAACCAAATTAACATTACCATTCACTAAATTCCTGACTTTATTAGTGGAAGATGGGGTGTATTCCACTGTCGTGTTTTCTAGTATAGCATCCAGTCTATGATACCACATTGCATTTATTTGTCATGTCTCCTCTGG